GCCAGCCCCCGGTTGCATCCCAGACCGGGCAACATCCCAGACCCCAGCAGCATCCCAGCCCCGGGCAGCATCCCAGTCCCCAGCAGCGTCCCACCCCCCAGCAGCATCCCAGCCCCTCGCCCCAGGGCTGGGGACATGGGGCACGGCACAGCAGAAGGGCTAGTAATTGTGGGGTTTGGGCTATCTCTAGCCCTTGCCTCCCCTCCCCGGTGCGAGGACCCACAGCAGTGCACAGGGAGAACGTAAGGTCCCAGGACCATCCCAGCACTGTGCCTCAGTTTCCCCACCTGTGAACGAAGGCCAACGGCCTCATTCCGTGCCGCTCTCTGGCTCGCGCTGTGGGGAGTAATTAGCACGGATGTGCTGGAAGGCGGCAGTCCTAATTCTGTATTGTTTCCTACCAGAAGGGCTGGGACTGGAGGTGGCAGGGAGGACTGGTGACCGCAGGGAGGACTGGTGACCGCAGGGATGGCGCACGGGTGCGGGAAGCAGAGTGAGGGGTGCGCTGGCTGGCACGAGCGGCTGACGGACGGTGGGTACCGCTGCTCGTCCCCGGTCTGTCAGCCTGGCTGGGGACAATGCCCATGCCAAAGCGGGCAGGACGGCCGTTACCTCCCCACTGCTCCCCCTTGTTTTGCCTGGTGCTGACCAACTCTCTTCCATCGCTCTAATTATTTCACGCGCGGAAGCGCTGAGAGCTTCAGTGGCTCCGAGGCTAATTACATCGGGCGGGTGCTGGAGTAACGCAGTGCAACTTCCTCAGCTGCCGCACCTGATGTGGGTAATTGGTTAACGTTTAAGTCATTAGGATTCAATTTGCAGCTCCTGTGATGGAGATGGGCAGGGGCAGACCCTGCTGGGTGAGGAGGTGCGGGGCTGAGCTCGCCTGCCAGGGCAGTGCGATGCAGAAGTGACCCACGGGGGTTCCTTTTTTTCCACATGGGTTTGCTGGGGCTGAGCTGGGAGCTCTGGATGCCAGACCTGCTCAGGGATGCTGGTTTGGGAGAGGCCAGGCTGGGCTGGCACTGCACTGCTCTGTGGTGGGGTGGCCTGGGGAGCCGGGCTGGATGGGCTCTGCGTGGAGCCCGGGCTGGCGCACACCCCTGTCATGAGTGGTGCGTGGTCTCAGCAGGACCTGCTGGGGGCTGGACATGAGGAAGGATGTCCTGGAGAGTGTGGGGGAAGGTTTCCCCCAGGATTCAGCGTGTGGCACGGGGAGGGCAGAGCAACTGATGGGGAAGCGCTGCCTCTTGCCTCTGCACGTCTTGTTAAAGTCATCTGCAGGAGAAAAGAGAAGCCCCCGGGACGGGGAGGTGCTGACCCTGCGTGGGGGGTCACCTCTCAATGCAGGGACCATGGGAGAGCGTGGCGGTGGCAGGAATGACTGCGGTGTTGCAGCCCTGCCCCGAAACAGAGACCGTTCAGGGGGCCACGAGGACCCTCTGCTTCCTTCCTCGCCCCCTTTGGTGTCAGACCCTCGCTCGCTGCAGGGGAAACCTGCCTGTGGTGCGGAGCGGGCACAAAGCCTGCATGTCAGGCACGGTCTCGGGAAAGGCTCCAGCGAAGCTGCCTGGCGCTGGGGGCTGCCCGGGGTCCCTGCTTGGCTCCCCACCAGCAGCCCCCTGCATCCCTCGCAGCATCCCGGGGAGAGCTGTGCCCCCCCGGCTGCCCCCGCACCAGCCGGGTCGCACCATTGCAGCCCCGGGAGCGGTGGAGCAGCCAGCTCTCCGAATGCTTAGTTAAATTACATTTATTTTTAAAACTCTTGAATCTTCTTGGCAGGAAGTAGAATTTCCCTAAAGAGATTTTTTTTTTCTAGTGGGTGAGCAAGGCTGGCAGCCTGAATCGAGGATCCCTCCTGTCTTCCCAACAGGCTCTTCAGGAGCCGACACTGGTGCAGGCTTTGATTAAAGTAAGAACTTGTCCTCCCCAGCCCCTGGCAGGAACTCGCGCATATGGTTTCTCTCGCAGCGGCTGACGGTCCCTGGCGCGAGGCCACTGCATCCGTCTGTACCCGCCGGTGACTCCCGAGCGGCCGGGGTCCTCTGAGGATGCCTGCCCGCCTACCTGGCACCGCCACAGGGAACGGCGGGGCCTTCGCAATGACATCCCCGCGCCGGGCTCCTCTCAGCCTGCGTTTACGGGAGGGGGAGGCTGACGGCAGGGCCGAGCCGAGCCGCTTCCCCACCCCACGGCACCCTGCGAAGGGTTGGGGATATGCCGCAGTGTTCATCAGCTCCATCTCTTCTGCAGAGCTCTGCCCGCTCCCGCCGCTCCTCCGAAACCCCTTCCCAGCAGCAGAGCTGGTGGGGGGAGAGCAGAGCGGCTCGGCTGCCGTCAGCTGCTCGCGTGGCACTCCTGAACGATTCCCTCTCTAATTCGCTGGGGTGATTTGGTGCGAGATAGTGTGTTTGATACTAGTCATCGCTGGGGGAAGCTAGCTGGGGAGCGGGTTTGTCTTTGAGTGATTTCGGAACAAAATGTGTTACAAACACCCTGGAAACGTCTTTGCAGTGATTCAGACCCAGCTCAGGGAGAAAAACTCCGCCCCAGTGGGAGCTGGGGAGAGCTGTTAGCGTTGTATGTAGCCCAGTTAGCATCCCTGGATCCCGCGCTCCAAATAATTCATCCCCAATAACATTTAATTCATTCCATTTATTAGTACTTAGACCTGAGCCATCCCACCAGGCGTGATGTGCGCACGCCGTGCTGGGGAGGCACGGTTTCAGGCCAAAACCTGAGGCAGAAGCAATGAGCTGGGGCAGGTCGGGGTCCAGGACAGGCACTTGCCCCATGGTTTCCGCTGCACCGTGCGGCACCCATGAGGACCGGGGACTGCTTTTCCCCGCAGTGAGGACCGGAGGCTCTCAGCGGTGACCCAGCACCCCGCTGCAAAACACGGCAAAATCAGCTCCTCCTGAGTTAAAAGCGTGGGCCGGGGTGAGCCCAGGGATGCTCTGACCCAGGCTGGGGGCTGCTCAGCCCAGCCCCGCAGCGAGGACCGGGCTCTTCCAGGCGCTGTTCAGGGTTTATGGACCTTTAGGGCAGGCAGGGAGTTCCCCGGTGGGATCAGGGTCATTTCTCCTGAGGAAGCCCCCGCTTCTTCCAGCAGAAGGTCAGCGGATGCCAAGCGTTGCGGGCGGCTCTGCGCACAGTGCCAGCGGCCCAAGTGCCACCACATCCCTGCCTGGTGTGCTGGGGGGGAGACGGGCACGGTTGTGACAACAGCAACAAATCCTTCTAGTCACAACATCGTCGGGAGCGCTCGCAATTACGGGCTAAGGCTGTGCTGTGTGCTAAATATAGAGCCCTGGTCCTCGCACACTTAAGGAAACAAATGATCTGATGAGCATCTTTCTGCTGAAATATGAGCCCATTTATTAAGCTAAATGGACGTGAAATGCAAATGCGAGGTTACTTTTCAGCTATTTCCAAATAATAATTAAAGCCTTTTGGGACTGCTCATTAGACGCGTTTGCCGTGTGACTCCCCATCCACTCCCCGGTGTGGCCGAGGGATCCCGGGGAGGACGCCTGGTGCGCGGGGTGGATGGCGAGCACCAAGCCCTACGAAATACCCTGCTTTGGGTGCGGATCTGTGCCAAATAGCTCATCCCCAGCTGGGACCAGCGAGCCTTGGCCATGGCCGTGCTCTGTGCCATGGTGCCCTGAGATGCAGCTCTGCTCCCGGGGCTGATGCGGGTGGAGTTGGGCCCCCACCACTGCCGTCACCAGTGACTCATGGGACCCCTCCATCTCCCTCCTGTCTCACCCTCGCCGCCTCTACCCGCCTGCCCAAGTCCCCAGTTCCAGCGGGGAAGTAGACATGGGTCAACTTGTGCTGCACAGGACCATCCTGCTTTGAAACGCCTCTCAAGTGAGCAGCTCTAGCTGCCTGCGCCTGCTGTCCCGGGGAAGGGAGAAGGGGTCAGCGGTCATGGGGGTCCCTCAGGCTCGTGCAGGGCACAGATTGCTCCATCAGAGCTGAGCAAGCAGCTCCTGTCTGCAACAAGCGCTCGGAGCGGTGCAGAGGGAAGGCTGCGGTGGTGCTGCATCTGTTTGGGGCTGGGACGTGTCTGCTCACCCGGCGTCCCACCAGGACCTCCCACCTTCACCCTCTCAGCTCTCAGGTCTCTGCTCCCAC